TAGGGAAAGTTGTTTTTCTGGACTCAGCTTCTTAAAAGCACTCGTTTCATCAATACAGGGTGGGGTGTGTGGGGAGTCAGGAGGGGAGGGAATCTAACAGCCTCTGTATGATTTTGGTGGCAAGAAAGGTAATCTGAAAGGAATTTCTGCTCTCCATCTCAATCATTTCCTTGTCCCACATCTCAGCAACTTGCTCTCATTTCCCCACCTTACACCCTCTTAGCTGGAGTAGGGTATCAGGACTTAAAATTTACCAGCCCTTCTAAAGGGTGCTTATTGCTTGAGAAGAAGGCAAGGTGTGGAAAATTCAAGATTTAAATTATAATCCTTGTGATTAAACATTGAACAATAACCTCAAAACCACATCTCATGAGCCCAAATCTTATTGCCTGTCTTGTCCTTGGACTCCTTGCTTAGGTCTATCCACTAAGCACCACAGTTTTTGAGTGCTGAGGAGAGAGTAGCCTCCAGACTGAGTTAAATCCACTTTTCCTTTTACACTTAAAATCTTTTTTTTTACCTGACAACATCTGCAGTGACTGATTTGTGAAGCTGTGAACTCAGGGAGCAGTAGAACAACCGAGCAAGGAGTAATGCATTGTTTGTACTTGGGCTGACATCGCTCATCCACCACATGAGGATCTACTGTACCTTGAAAACTACCTGTGGTGAACTCTGCATGGAGAGACTACAAAGAGTTAAGGATTTTGTTTTGGATCTCCAAGGCACGCTTGAAGCCAAGTTCTTAAAAAAGTAGTTTAATTTGTTGCCATTACATTTGCCAGATGTATGACCTCACTCAACTTTTAGCAACAGTTCTTTGTGCTGAGATTGGCCCCTGGGGAGCCCAGCACTGCTGCAAATGGCTTTTTGGCTGCTATGCGTATGGAGCATGTTAAACATAACCGTGATCTGTGAAAAAGTAAGAATCTTCAAGCACTGCCCACTTTCCTTCCTGTCTGGGAGCTGGAGTTGGACAGATACCACAGCTGAGCTCATAACTGAATAGGCAAAAACACCAGAGCACTGTGGTATTGACTCTTCTGGCCGGGAAACGAGGTGACCAGGAGCATCTTCTGACTGCAGAGTTGTCACTGGACATGAGTCCACCAGCTAACTAGAAAATAAAATCCAACTATGATCTAAGTAGCTGGGCTAAAACTAGCCAGCCTTGTGGTACTCATCACTTATTATATAACATTTTTAAAGAGCTGCTTTTGAACGAAATGTTTTTTGAAACATGAGTGAGTAGGAGGGGAGGGAAGTAAATCGTTTTACAAAGGTTTGTCACTTGTGACGCGAGAGCAGTGCTGCATTTTTCCTCTTGCTTTTAGAAAGGGTTGGTCTCCAAGTGCTTCTCAAATGGCATGACCTGATCAGCTGTAGTTTGGGGAAGGAAATGCCATGGGAAAGAAGATTCTCTTATTGATGCTCACCTGCAAATTTAACCTGGATTTAGCGTGCTGTAGGAAGTTTTCTGTGTGTCTCTGGGGAAGCTAGGATCTATTTCTAGCTCTGCAACAGAACTGCCATCGCAGGCAAACGTGACTCTTCAATCCCCTGTTCTCCTTGTCAGGGGAGACGCATAGAAATTACTTCCTCTATTGAGGTACAGGTTCTGCAGATGAAGAGCTTGTTGGAGATTTGAATGTAGCATGTCAGGGAAGAGAGAGGTGGGCTCGCTTCCAGAGCACAGGTCTCCAGCATCCTTTAGTTTTTCCCCACCTACTTGTAGCACAGCAGCCAGTGCTGATGGGATGTGTGCTGAGAGCCTTTCTGCTATTCAGCAAGAGTGATGGCTGTCACCTAGGGCTTCAGGTGGAGTTTGAAGTTAACTGGTATCACTTCTGAGCAAAGATTGGAGGTACATCATTGTGTTAGGAGAGGGTGCTGTGGGGTGGTTTCTGGTGGGGGATGAGTGTTGTGAACCACTGGGGATGTTCTGGCAGAGGGTAACTCATTGTCTGCTTAGCTGCAGCTGAGACAGGCCAGGTGACCACTGCTTGAGGCCATGAATTTGCCATCTGCAAGGAAGTCTTTCCCCAGTGACCACCCTAAGATTTCTTTATACTCATTCCAGCCCTCCAGCCCTTCCTCGCTGATAATGCAATACAGCTGGAAACGCACCATTTTGTTGTCACAATACAGTTAGGCTGAATCAGTGCTGTGACCCAGTGCCAAAAACCTGTCACCTCTGTTTTTTCTGTTTCTGCTCTGTGCAGACATCTTCTGTGCAGCTAATAACTCACTGCTGCCTCCAGGCACTGGTCAAGTTGAGGATACGGTGGTGTTCTGTGTGGCACAATGATTTTCCTGCAAGTGTCTGGTGAGGAGAGCTACAAAGGCTGATCCTGCTTGCTCCGAGAGATTGTGGCTGCATGGAGCGTGTGCTGTTGGTGGTGGCTGTTCTTTCTGGTGGGAACTGAAAGGGTTAAGCTACGTGGCTGCCTGGATGGAGCTCCTGCACGGCCTCACTCCTCTCTCAGGGCAGCTGCTCTTGGCAATGTTTGCACCATCACGTGTGCACAGCCCTGCTGAAGGCCAGAGCTGACCTTTGGTGCACAGATCTCCCAACTGCAGCAAGAACTTCACTGCTCAGCCAAAATGGACAGATCTTATAGGCCCTTCCATCTGGGGAGTGTGCTGGGCACCATGACATCCTCCCAGGAGGAGAACCTCCTCACAGCATGATATGAGCTGGAGGGGAGTCACTGATTTTCTCCTTCTGTGAATCTATTCTGCCACATATAGATGCTGTAACAGCAAGAAAGGCTGCTACGCT